ATATATATATATATATATATATATAATATTAGATGCACAATGTAAACTTTAAAAAATTAAATACAATTTAGAAATAAGTTGAAGTACTAAAATTAACTGAAATAAAAATAAACTAAAGCTAAATAAAAATATATATTTTTTAAAAATGACAAAAGCACATAACAAAATTACTACTAATTTAACTAAAATGAAAATGTAAAATATAAAAATAACAGCAAATTCAAAATATTAATAAAAACTATAATAGTACATAAATAATACTTACCTCCAGTGTGAATTCAGGTAAATTGGGATATAGGAGCACTTATATTTAATGTATACAAATATAAACAATAATTAAAAGTTTTTTTTTTTTATTACGCTAAATTGTAATCAACCACAAGTTTAATTTAGCTATAGAAGGTTAACTTTAAATTATCCTTATAAACATTATTCCACTTTAAGTGTTGTTTAAAGCAGTATTTCTTTAATTTGCCAAATAAAACATGCATTAATGCCCTTGCAATGGAAGTCTCGATCTTAAGCGTATTATTAACATTGCTTATTTTTAATTTACCATACGTTTTACTTAATTTTACAATAAAGTGATTTAATCCGTAATTCACGAAAGACACGCATTAGTTAATTCTATAGTATGTGCTCGATGTCACAATGTAATAAATGAGTGAATGTGTATGGGCATGTTCAGCAGCCCTCATTCGTTTCATTTTTCTTCAGTCTCCGACATCTCCATGAGTTTAGACACGAATCGCACGCACGAACTGATGTTTTGGAAGTTCTAGACATATTTCTGCATAGAAACACGCCTATCCGAAGTCACGGAAGTGTCAAACAAATTTACCCGATCATATTTAAGAAAACAATACGACAGTCTGAGACGGTCAGTATTAAATCTTTCTCTTGGTTAGTAAATATAATGAAAGTTGAAACACTTACATGACTCCGTGTTGTGTCTGATGTGACCGAAGGCTCAAGACTTTTACGCACAAAAGGCGGAGCAGTCTATGAGGCGGAGCCAAACTGACGCGTCATCTCTCCGCGGTGACTCAGAGTCAAAGGCAAATGATTCAACAGAAACTCCATTCACCACACTGAGTCATTGATTTTCGTCTGAAATTAATAGACCAAACAGCTGTGATTGCACAATGACCTGATTTATATGAGCCGTTTCTGTTTGGTACAGTTAGTACACAGGTCATGGTCTACCTATAAATACATTCTTATGCTTTCATGTGCCATAGCCATATCATCCCCCTGTAGCCCAAGACTGGTTGCCCACTGAAGCCAAGCAGGATTGAGCCTGGTCAGTACCCGGATGGGAGACCTCCTGGGAAAACTATGTTGCTGCTGGAAGAAGTGTTAGTGATGCCAGTAGTAAGTACTCACCCTGCAGTCTGTGTGGGTCCTAATGCCCCAGTATAGTGACAGGGACACTATACTGTAAAAAGCACGGTCCTTCGGGGGGAATGAATAAAGTAAATGTTCATACTAGAGTGGAAACACTGCATGTTATTTAAAGCAGTGGTTCCCAACCCTGGTCCTGGAGGCACCCCAACACTGCACATTTTGCATGTCTCCTTAATCAAACACACCTGATTCAGATCATCAGCTCATTAGTAGAGACTTCAAGACCTGAAATTAGTGTGTCAGAGAAAGGTGACATGCAAAATGTGCAGTGTTGGGGTGCCTCCAGGACCAGGGTTGGGAACAACTGATTTAAAGTATTTTAACTTCTCTAGCTGTAACTTCAGGGTTATGACTGTCCAGTAAACACACAACACTGGTGCTTTCCATCCGACTGCCTTTAATGATAAACATTCCCAGTTTTGAGATCGTGCACCATCATATCTGTCACATCTCCACATCTACACTGACCTCATACACACCTAAAATAGATATTTAGAAATGTGAAAAACAAAAAAAAACTAAAACATTCAAGTTGTCCCATCTTTTAAAAGATTAAAAAAACAAAATACAACCACTGAACAATTTCATATTTTTCATATAACTTTAAATTACAAAAAGAAATAATGCCATTTCATTACGTAATCACTGAGGGGTAGAAACATCCAGAGAGGTAACAAAAATTCCCATGCACAATAATGCTTTAAAATGATACAAGATAACACAGCAGATCACTCGTATGTAAATGGATCTCACGACGGCTCAGCGTGATCCGCTTTTCATGCAGACACGTCGCTGGGCATTTCCCGTCATGAGTGATGGACTAAGTATATGTTCGAAATACCACGTTTAACTCATTTGTTCAGTCATTCTTCTGTCAAACGCAACCTTATGATCAGCAACTTGGCATTTCAGAAACCAATCAGCTGCCATCAATGGAAAAACACATCCGTTCCTTTGCTTGGCTTGAAACATTAATGTAATGTAATATTAAATAGATAAATGCACAAATGTCATCCATTCATATTGCACTGAATTTGGCTCAGATCTTCTCGCCGTTGTAAGGTAATTTCACAATCACGCCACTGTAACAGCACACAAACAAAATGTGAAAAGTCTGTGGTTTGAGTTTAAAATCTCTGCAATGATTGTGTCCAATCGTAAAAACTCTCTGAAGAAGATCCTCCTTTAATCAAACTCTTTTCAGTATCTTCCTTGAGTTGATGTTCTTCCTCTCTGTGTGTCTTTGGCGCACAACATGATGCATGAAAGCTTCAATCTCTGGCATGTTTAAACGTCTTTTGTCTCTAAAACTAACCTGTGATGCAACAAAACCCAATCCATCTTTGAATAAATAGTTATAATAAATAAGAGCAATAAATAAATGCTAAAACCCCACAGCGACATTAGTGGAAAAACACGATCCCGAGGACTCTCTCAGCCCGAGGCACTCTCGATTCACCTCCCTCTTTGTCTTTCTTCTCTCACGCTCTCCCGTTCGGTCTCTGCGGGTGCGAGCGGACGCTCGGAGGAGTGCCGACAGCCGCTTTCTGTGGGTAAAAATCTTCCTGACTCTGACTCATGAGCCCATTCATACAGCCGTCTCCAGATCCTCGTGCGCCTCCGGCTCCTCCACCGGCTGGCTCTCCATGAGGGACGTCAACTCTGAGTTCCCGGCATCCAGGGCGCAATCCTTGGGAGTTTTTCCCTGAAAAGGACAATGTGACATAAATCTGACTACTGAGGTGTGGTTATACACAACTATTTCTCACACCATGTGTGAAAACAAAGAGGAAACACAAACAGATTCTCACTAGGAAGTTAGTTTTGCTGAGGGAAGCCCCGGCCTCCAGCAGACATCTGCACACCTCCACATGCTGCTGAGACGCTGCTTTGTGCAATGCGGTGTCGCCTCTGAAAAAAGGAAATGAGGACAAATGAAATGCCAGCTTACACCACTAACACACAAATAAATACATCAAACCGTGGCTACATACGTGTCTCTGTCAGTTAAATCCAACATCAGCTTTGACCCTGAAAGAAACAGAATTTTGATATCATAACACTGAATGTGAGTGACAAGAAATTATACTTGTATATAATATATCGTTTTATAAAATAGTATTAATATTAGTAATAATATTTAATTGAATAATTTATTTTAAAATGATATATATATATATATATATATAATTTTATAATATACATAATAATATATATAATAATATATAAGACGCATAAAAATGTCACTTCATGTGTGTGTGTGTATAGATAGATAGATGACAGACAGACAGACAGATAGACAGATAGATAGATAGATCACTTGACATTTAAAAATTAAAAAATACTTTATACAAACAAATATATATATATATGTGTGTGTGTATATCATATAAAATAAATGATTGTTAAAATATATTTTAAGTTAATTTGATTTCTCAAGTATTTGGGCATTTAAGACATTTAAAAATGTCACTTGGCATTTAAAAACTTAAAATACTTTATACAAAAATATTTTGTATGTATGCATATAATATAAAAATAATTTATTAAAATATAGTTATTTAATTTCTGAAGTATTTGGACATTTAAGGCATTAAAAATGTAATGTGACATTTAGAAGCATTTAAAATGTAAAAACAAAAATACTTTTTTACATATATGCATATAAAAAATAAATTATTATTAACATTTTATTTTATGCACCAAAAAGTATTTGGACATCTAAGAAATGTAAACATTTATATTGACATTTAAAAACGGAAATACTCTATACAAAATATTTTTGAATACTCTATACAAATAAAATACATTGATTTAATTGGATTTGATTTCATTTGACTCAATTCATTTGGATTTGATTTGATTTAATTTAATTAATTTCATGTGGTTTGATTCATTTTGATTGGATTGGATTTGATTTCATGCGATGCGATTCATTTAGATTTGATTTGTTTTGTGTCCCTTATATATTTAGGAACAGTTATTTACTCTAAACTGCTTTTGGTTTTGGTTAGTCATGGGATTGTAACTTGCACACAAAAACTTCCCTTCTATGCCAGCTGAGCATGTGACAAAGAAACTTTAGACTTTGCGTACACAAACACAGGAGTGTGCGTGTCTACGGGCTCGTCTCTCACTCACCGTGCTCCAGAATAAAACTCACGATCTCCCTGTGGCCGTGTTGGGCGGCCAGGTGCAGAGCGTTGCAGCCCATAGAGTCCCGCACCAACAGACTGATCCCGCTGGTGCAGGAGTCCGACACCTGTGAAACCCGGGACAGATCATGAGTCAGGATGAGGGACAATGCATGGGGATTTTTAATCAGAAAACAAACTAGTTATGCAAGTGCTTTTGCTTCACCCTGCTCAGTCACCTCTCGAAAACTCTTTCACTTTCAATTCATAAAACAAGGAAATGTAAAAATCTTACCACCTCCATGTTTCCTTTATCAGCAGCCGACAGGAGAGCTGGAAAAAGGTTGAGATTTTTTCAAAACAATGAGCAACGATCATGCATAATGTAGCTAGCATCCTAGGAAATGCATGACATGCATGTGGTAATTTCTGAGAATATGACCAATGGGTTTATCACATGACTTCTGACAGGAAACATTAACCTCTAAAGAAAACCTGCTCCATTTCTAAACAGTTTCCTATCTCTCCACCACTTCAAAGAAATGTTTGTGTTTGTACTTTACCTTGTTCGTCTGAGGTCAGTGAAGCCCTGTAATGAGGAAACCACAGCTAAAATAAAAAGCTTTGTTATGCAATTACACGGCGCATGAGGTATAAAACTGTCAGGAATGAACAGAAAAACAAGGTACTGATGAATCTCACCCAGAACTGGGCTCCACCACCACATCTGGCATTCCAGGGACCCGGACCTGGCTCACCGCTGGAGCCTCGTGGTCCAGGATGAAAACCTCATCCTGGCATATTTCGGTCACGAAGTGCAGGTGCTCCTGTTTGTACACACATTACCAGTGCATATTATACAGCTTCCCGATATCTTTTTTCATTTTTATGCAAATTGTTTAACACAGTATTATAATCATACCTGAGCCTTGTCTATGCGATAAAAGCGGTCAGCTGATGTAGCTGGAAACAGAATAAACATGCCAATGGTTAAACTATCCAGAAGTGTGTACTCACATAGAGTAGGTCTCATCTTACAGTACAAATGAAGAGACTCACAGTCTAGGAAGCTCCAGCTGGGTGAAAGTCTGTGTGCTGAACTGGGCCGCGGCAGACCTGCGCTCTCATCCTGACAAAACACAGCAAAAACACACAAACACTCGAAGTGGAGTTTTCATTGTACATTGTATATACATTTTATTTTCAGTTTCAATCACCTGGAAACACACAACACATGGGGTATAATTTATTTATATATCGCTATATTTAATAAATTAACTTTTATTTTGTTGACCACAGCAGAAGACTACTTCATTTAACACTATGCTCTAATTTACTCAAAATATTACATAATTACTACATTCAAATTTTAACGTGAATTCAATTTTAGTTGGTACAAAATTACCAGATTTAAATTCTGATGTGAATATTTTCTTTTTTATTATGTTATAATTACTAAATTTATATTTAAAATTCTGATGTGAATATTTTTTAATATTTATTTTATTAAGTTATCATTACACAATTAATAGACTTAAATTCTGGCATGAATATTTTTAAATTTTTCATATTTATTAATGTAACAAAGTTCGTAGTCACGGGAAGAAGGAGGCGGGAACCGGCGGACATTTAAATAAACTTTAATAAAATAAACAAACACAAAATAGCGCGACAGCCCCTCGCGGACGACTGTCGCGCACAAACAAAACCAAAACACAAAATAAACTCCAGGCCTGGTCCTCTCTCGTCCGACACGGTCGTCACTCCTCCCTTTTATCCTTCCGGAGCTCCTCCGTGAGACTCGAGACCGGTGAGTGGGTGCAGGTGTCGCTCATTATCAATTACTCCACCGGCCTCGCTCCGTTCCCACGGCTCTCAGCCC